AGGCTACAATAGCTCCCATTTCCTTATCATGAATGTCATAGTTGATCTCAGCTGGGGAGAATTTCTTAGAATAGAAAGCTACCGGGTGTAGTTTCCCATCTTCCCCATACTGAGAGAGCACCGCTCCTTTGGCAAAGTCACTGGCATCAGTTTCAAACCCCGTTCTTCTGCTAGGCTCAAAATGGAGAAGGATTGGAGCGCTTGTGAATAGCTTCTTGAGTTCCTCAAATGCTTGTTCACAGGCTGCGGTCCAATACCATTTCTTGTCATTTTGCATGAGGTCGGTCAGCGGTTTGCAAACTTTACCGAAGCCTTCAATGAAGCGGCGATAGAAGTTTGCAAATCCCAGGAAACCTTGCACTCCCTTAATGTTTTGGGGCACTGGCCATTCCTGAACCGCCTCCACCTTGTCTTCTGACATAGATACTTCCTGTTCCGAGATGTGATAGCCAAGGTACTCTACCTCTCGGACATGGAAGGATGTCTTACTGATGGAGGCACACAGTTTTGCTTCTCTGAGTTTCTGTAGAACATTCTCAACCAGCCTTTCATGCTCTTCCTCAGTCTCTGAGTAGATGAGAATGTCGTCGATATAGACAACCACTCCTTCATCCAGTAGTTCCTTTAGCATATCATTGATCATTGCCTGGAAGGCGGAAGGGGCATTGCATAGACCAAATGGCATCACATTATACTAATACAGTCCATAGCGGGTTCTGAAAGCAGTTTTCCACTCATGACCTTCTGCTATCCTGATCAAATTGAAGTCATTCTTCAGGTCTATCTTTGTGAAGATCTTGGCCTTGAACAACCTATCCCTGAGCTCGCTCATGATAGGCAGCGGGTACTTGTCTTTGACAGTGACCTTGTTCAAACCTCTGTAGTCAACACAAATTCGCCATGTACCATCCTTCTTAGTTATGAACAATATGGGCGCCGCTGCGGGGCTGCTAGATATGGAGATCTTACCCAAAGACAACTCTTTGTCTGGGTACTCTCGCAAGGCCTTCAATTCTGGAGCGGAACATGGGTATAGCGGGCCAAACGGGGGAGCGGTGCCAGGCAAGAGATTGATCATCAAATCATTTTTGGAGTGCAGAGGCAACTCTTGTATTTTCTCTTGACTGAATACATCAGCACATTCCATATAGCGGAGAGGTATCCTTTCGGTGACATTTCCTCCGTCCTCATCATGCCATACTGAAGCAGCCAGTTGATATACTATATCTTCTTCGTCCATCATTTGGTATGAAGAGATGAGTTCAAACTTGACCGCTGCTGGAAAACAATTCTGATTGCAGTAGTCACTTCGCCACCCTATGGTATTGAGTTCCCAATTGATATCCGGGTTATGCTTTCTTACCCAAGCAATTGGCAAGTATCCGGATACTCCTTCTTCCAAAGTAGCCAACTCCCAACGGAGTGTCTCCCTATAATCTCACATGCTCATGTGGACTGGGTGAGTGAAATATTCTCCTCCGCCTATCATGACATCTCCTTGAGCATCATACAATGTCAGAGGTTGATCTCGCCGCACTAAGGGAACTCCATGCTTCCTGACAAAACTCTGGTTGAGGATTGCTCCTGTACAACCGGTGTCAAAGAGGAATGTCCCTTGGGCATGTTCAACTTTATTCTTTACCGTCCACGACAGTCCTGCCTTCAGTATCAGCCTCTTACCATGTACTGGTAAGGATGGAAGCTTTTCGTCCAACCTCCTTCGCTTCTGTTCGGGTTCTGGGCTTGATTCTCTTTGTCTTTTTTCCATTCCTAATAGCTGCGGGCACTACCAAGATCAAATGATCCTTTGGTTCTATTCCCAAGGGATAATAGAGCAAATATATTATGTGGTAGTCTAGTAGCGGTCGGAAGTGTCTTGTAGCAAATGTTACTTTGGCAGAACACTTACAGACCAGCTGTTTCAGGTCATAAACCCATCCTCAGAGTGCTTGGAAACAATCAAATAGGCGAAACACAATCAGAAATTTATTCAAGAGAAACAAGGAAAGAACCGAGACACCAAAGGAAGACTAGTAAATATAGACTATAAACAGACACACTTTCTACCAGATGATTTCGTTGTCCGAGTCTTGCTCAGGCTGAAATACGAAATCTTCTGTAACTTCTGGGAGTACAATAAGGGGTTCCTCTGCTGTAACAGCAGCCACTTTAGCTTTCTTCTAAGGATTGTGCTTGCCATTTCCTCGTTTCCGCTTTTGTACCCTCACTGCTGCCACTCGGACTAAAGTAGGTTTCCTGGACCAACAATCGGTTCATTTGTGTCTGGACTTGCCACACTATTGCACAAGTCAGTCTATGCACTCTACTAATAGGGGGTACTGGAAGGTCATACCTTCAAGCATACTTCTGCCTTCCTTCTTTCTTCTAGAATATCCTCCGGGATACCCTTCAGTTCCACCGCTTTTGTCATTGGAACTTGCTTCCTTCTGAAGTTTCGAGGAGCTTGCAGCTTCTCTCTTCCTCTTGGGGTGCCGTTCCTTCTCAGCAGGAGGATCTTTCTTGGTCCTGGCGGGTGCTTTCTCAGCTACTACCGTCTGGTACCTCTCGTGGGTGTGTCCTAGCTCTCTTAGAGGAGCTATCTGCTCCATCAGAAACTTTGGCTTGGGGGTAAAGAGAGCCCAACTCATGCCTAGGTCAGGGAGGAGGGAACTGAGGATCTTATCATCCACTAACTGACCCTCATAGCCAGCCTCCCATATCAGCTGAATACAGGAGAAGCTCGCTAGAAGAATACTGCGAGTAAGAATAAACACCCTATAAGAATAGGAGTTTGTAGTCCCATGAATATATGTATGGTAAAATAAGAATAATGCCCATAAGGAATATTCTTGTGTGTTTTGATTGGGTTTCTTAGTGTATTCTCATAGAGTGGGAAGGGTTAGGGTTGTAAGAGAGGGTTGTAAGAAAGGGTAATTACATTCAAACCAGCGGAGTCCCAGACTACATGTATATAAACGTCACTTGCTCAACCGGTACCGTACCATGTAAACTTCAACAATCGACCATGGATAATACAAATACAGCACTAAGAAATGCCTTCACCGATACTGAGCGAAAGGAACTTTGTGAATGGGTAAATACTGAGAATGAAAAGAACGGATCTCGTCCAAAATGGCAATCCATTCAAAAGTGGTTTGCCGATACACACCATAATAAAATAATTTCGCAGTCTACAATTAGCAAAACCCTGAAGCGATCCTCTGATTTTTTAGAACAACAGCTAGCGCACCCACAGCAAAAGAAACATCGGGAGCCCAATTATCCAAAGTTAGATGAGGCTCTGTTTATATGGCATAAGAGTGTTCAGAAGCGGGTTCCTGTATCAGGCTTGATTTTAAAAGAGAAAGCGGCATTTTTTTTTTCCTACACTCTATCCAGGTAAGTGACATGAACACACCGACACTTCAAACACTGGCATAATTCTGACGGCTTAACTGGCAGATGAGTGTCCGCCAAAATTCTCAGATGGGTGGCTAGCAGCATGGAAGACTCGGAATGGAGTCAAAGAGTTCCGATTTCATGGCGAGTCAGGCAGTGCAGATATAGAGAACGGACAAGCAGAAATGGAGGAAATACGCTTAATCCTATCACAATATCATCTTCAAGATACATACAATATGGATGAAACCGGATACTACTTTGGAATGCAGCCCGATCGATCACTTGCCACAGAGCAATTGGAAGGTATCAAAAAAGACAAACGGCGAATTACAGTTGCTTTAACTTCAAATGGCACTGGTACTGACCGTATGCCCTTATGAATCATTCGAAAATCGGAAAATCCTCGTTGTTTTAAGAACATCAATCGTGCTTCACTTGGTTGCCATTATCGATTTAATAAAAAGGCATGGATGAAGTCAGATATTATGTGTGAATATCTTGCTTGGTTTGATAAAAAAATGGCTGGCCGGAAGGTGGTGCTTTGTTTGGACAATTTTTCAGCGCATGAGAAGGGAGTACGGGAAATGGGGGGAGATATAGGTCTTAAAAATACGAGGATAATCTGGTTACCTGCCAATACTACATCGAAATGGCAACCGATGGACCAAGGCATAATTCAAACATGGAAGGCTTATACTCGGCGACACTTTATCCGGTATCTAGTCAATCAAATCGACACCTTGAATTTACAATCTAATTTGAACGAGATACTTCCTCAGCCAACTATTCTTCAAGCCATTCGGTGGGGGGTGGAAGCGTGGAATTTTGATGTCAAACCTTCTACAATTTTCAATTGTTTTATAAAGAGTGGTATCAAATATATTGGACCAGTTCCGCCTCCACCCATTGAGGATCATGATAACTGCGATATGAACAACATAAGATCGGAGGTTCATACCTCCATTGATATTTTAAGAAATGCAAATCTCATTGGACTCGGACTTGAAGAGCCACTAGATATTGACGGATTTTTTAACCCTGAACGGGAAGCAATAGAGGATTCACCTGACATTCTAGAGGTAACTCATAGCTTTACCCGGGCCTCTATTCAAATTTATTAAATGTTTCTAATATGTGAATTTAAATAGAGCCAAATACTCGACTCCTTTCTGCCTGTATCAGAGTCCGCTGAACCTGACGAAGACAACAGTGACTTAATGCAAAAAATAGAGAGAAAGGTTACCATATCAGAAGCCATTGAAGCGTTAGAAACCCTCCAACTATTTGAAAGCCAACAGCCTGAAAAGGAGAGCTCTGCCGAGACTTCCATGTACTTGATTAAGTATAGGCGGGAGATGGAGGACAGAAAAACTCGGATTTTAGGGGATCAAGTTCAGCGCAAGATAACCTTATTCTTTAACACACTGGAACCATGTCAATGATAGTATATGGTCTTTTTGTATTCAATTAGATATAAGAATAAATATGCTATAAGAATATGATATTCCGGTCCCGTCCGTATTCTTATAGCGAGTTTCTCCTGTAATACTATTCAGGAAGGAGTCTATTCCTTCCTTAGCTGTATGGGTAAGGGCATTTCAATTGGCTACAGCGTCATCCCTAGAGATGGCTTCACCAAAGGCTGCTCTGAGAGCATCCACAAAGGAATCCCAGCACTTCCATCTCTCGTCCAGCACCACAGGCATCCCAGCTATCCGGTTGGCAGAAGCTTGGTCAATGGAGTTGTGATATGCCTCATACCACTTGACCGGAGCATCTCCTTCCATCAGGTTGCCAGCATAACGGATCCCAATCTCGTTGGAGGTAAAGGACTGGCTCTCGATGGAGAAAACATTCTCGCATTGCCGGACGAAGGTCTCCACATTGTCTGCTTTGCTGTTGAACTTGGTCGGAGAGGGTGCCTTGGGTTCTCGGGCCCTAGAGGCAGCGGAGGGATGTGAGGGGGCCAGAGACCTCATGAACTGGGCCATGGAGGCCAGAAGCTCTTTCTGTTGTTTCTCAAGCTTCTTCCTGAAGTATCCCCGCCATCCTTGCCTGTCTCCATACTCAGGCTCCGAGTCCGAACTCTCTGAGTCCCCTCCCGGGTTGGGAGCTCCAACAACCGGGGGGACTATACCATTTCCTCCACCATTACCAGCTGGTTCGGGGTTCTGGTTTTCTCCGCCTGGATTTCCTTCAGGCTGGGGGTTCCTCCTAGGTGACTCCGGAGTGGTGAGCCTCTGTGATATTCCCGGGATAACCCCTGGCGAACCCAGGCTGGGGGGAGCCCAGAGGCACCACTCCTGATTGGTGTCTGGGAGTAGTAGTCTTTGTCTCCAATAGGTTGTCGGGGGGCCTAGCTAGGCCACCTGCCAATGGGTGGCTGGGGCTCTCTGAGGAGGGAGAGGTGAACCTCCAATGGCCGATGGCATCATCAGGGGAAGAGTCCTCTGCCTGATAGACCTGACTGGAAATGCTGCAAAGGGGTTCACCCTTTGGTGGAAGGTTCTCAGGGCCGCTCCGGATGAGGCCCTGGAGTTCTACGGAGGAATGGGGTTGGGGACAGGTACTGGTGTGGGCATCCTGGCGATGGAGAGCCTTCCTCCATTGATGGCTCTCTGGATATCTTCCAAGAAGTTTGGGGGCATCGCCGGGTTTGTCCCCTCAATGTCCTCCATCTCATCTGCTCCTAAATCATCTCTCTGGGCATAACTCTGGAGTTGTGCCTGGACTGAGGAGACTTGTTCTGGCATGTAGCCGAAGGCATCCCTGAGCAGGACTGCCTCAGCTTCTTGTCTTTCTTGCACCAAGACTAGCGCATTGCTGGTGTAACGGAGCCATTTCAACTGTCTGGTGTATGAGTACACACAGGGCCCGGTTACATGCTGAGAGTTATTGTTAGAAGCCAGTTGCACAGTGACATGCAAGTACCGGCAGTGTGGTTAGCTACCAGCTGTCAGAGTAACTACATTCTGAGCGCTAGGAAGAGGATCTACTCATGGGAGCAATGACTGACGAGTCTGTGCCTCGCCAATGATTAGAAGGCCAGCCAGAGTGAAGCTCTGAGTGCTCGGCGATACTCTACATCCTCTGAGCATTGGAAGTCCGCCGGTAGTGGAAGGGACTATGCCTGGAAAGTCTACAATAAGCGAAAGCTCTACAGCAATGATTAAGCTTACACCTGAGCGGCAGCTCATTCATGCAGGCCCCTAGTTGTGTGGCAACAAAGGCTGCAGGTGTTACAAAGGCTTTGACTAAGGGTGGTTGCCTTCGGAATCGGAAGCACTCGCTGACGCTTAGAGAGAAGCGGGGTAGCGATGGTATTGCTTCCCTTCCACTAGGAGGCAGCACCGGAACTTAGTAAGGAAGTAGGAGCAGAGAATAGAATCCTTTGGAGTATAAGTACTCAGGATCATTCCCGCCCAACTGACCTGATCCTCATCTTCGAGCAGAGCATTATCGGTAGCAGAGCCCTTAAAGATTATTGAGTTCTAGCGATAGTATCTTTGAATAAATCTGCACCTGATTTCTATCTTGCACGGCCGCATCTATTCTATTGGATTCTAGCGATACATAGATAGGCTGCCCCCGTTACAGCTGGCCTTTATGACTTCGTGTTGCAGGCTGTGCTTGAGGTAGCGCTGCAATTCCGCAAAGAAGTCCTGTAGGGTGACTTTATTGGTATCTTGCCAGGTGGGCTCACATCCGGGAATGTAGGACTGGAGCGCCGTCCTGGGCTTGTGGATCAACTGTGTCTGACCCTCTTGGAATTCTAAGGCTGCCGGTTGCCATTCAATCTGAAGAGGCACTTGGGGAGCCGGGAGGGCGGACATGTTGTAAGAGGAAAGAATAATCTGAAGGTGATTTGAACTCTAAAGATTATCTGTAATAGGGACAGCTTCTTCCATGTATTGCTAGAATCCAATAGAATAGATGCGGCTGTGGAAGATAGAAATCAGGTGCAGATTTATTCAAAGATACTATCGCTAGAACTCAATAATCTTTAAGGGCTTTGCTACCGATGATGGTCAAGATGAAGACCAGGATCAGGACAGCTGGGTGGGAATGATCCTGAGTACTTCTACTCCAAAGGACTCTATTCTCTGCTCCTGCTTTCTTACTAAGTTCCAGCGATGACTTCTAGTGGCAAGGGAAGCAATACCATCGCTACCCCGCTTCTCTCTAAGCGTCAGCGAGTGCTCCCGGTTCCGAAGGCAACCACTCTTAGTCAAAGCCTTTGTAACACCTGCAGCCTTTGTTGCCACACAACTGGGGCCTGCATGAATGAGCTGCCGCTCAGATGTAAGCTTGATCATTGCTGTAGAGCTTTCGCTTATTGTAGACTTCCCAGGCATAGTCCCTTCCACTACCGGCGGACTTCCAATGCTCAGAGGATGTAGAGTATCGCCGAGCACTCAGAGCTTCACTCTGGCTGGCCTTCTAATCATTGGCGAGGCACAGACTCGTCAGTCATTGCTCCCATGAGTAGATCCTCTTCCTAGCGCTCAGAATGTAGTTACTCTGACAGCTGGTAGCTAACCACACTGCCGGTACTTGCATGTCACTGAGCAACTGGCTTCTAACAATAACTCTCAGCATGTAACCGCGCCCTGTGTGTACTCATTCACCAGACAGTTGAAATGGCTCCGTTACAGGATGACCGTTTGATTAGCTGTATACCCATGCTAAATAGCAGTAAAGCCCGGACAGGAAGCGTACGGGATCGAAGCCTTTTTCGTCTCCTGCCATTGCACACCCTCTGGGAATGCGAGTTTGCTGGGGATGCCAGTGTTAGTAACACGACTGAAACCGACGGATCATGAAATACCCTCTGTATAGTAATATAACATACCAAGGTTATTGCGTTGGGGGGATGGGACGACTCCGTTCAAAAAGCTGTATACCAATTTCATTAGGCAGTGAACCCGGATGGGGGTGGTGGTGCGGGATCCTTGCCTATCATTCCCCACCCTCCAGGAGCGCGAACTTGCTGGGGATGCCAGACTCGGACTTGAGAGGGTTTTGACTTGACCACCCTCGACTACCTGTACACGATTTAGTGAAACGGCATGAATCTGTATATTGGTGGACTTTTTGGACTAACCTATGGATTCCAGAAGCTCGGGACACATCGCGGGAAATATCTCCTAGCGTCTTTTGCCTCTAGTTATTGGTTCATGTACATATCAATGACATCATGGGAGAAGTCGCCTTCCACTCCCCCCCTCCCCCTTCCCAAAACTCTCTTATAAAGTTGGTACGTTGCACTGCCCATTCTACCGACAAAAACATCCTTGACAATGCCTCAGCGAGAGAGTCAGTTTCATTTGTCTAACTCCTTCCGTCCCTCGCAAAACATCTACAGAGAAACTTCCTCCCGTCGCAACACCTGATTGTTTAGTAGAGACAGACCACCGACCACCCAAAGACATGTACCATCTTCACAGGAAATTTCAAGCACCTTTCCACATTAGTCAACCAGACGATTGCCTACGAGATCATCACAGGCGCGAGGACGAGAAATGGAGTCTGAAGACGATCTCTCCAAATACGAGGACCCATCACAAGAAGCTTCACAGATTGATTTAGAGCTTCATGGCGAGATGTATTTGACAAAAGATGGGAGAGTCAATGCCCGACAGCCTACGAGCCCACCACTCTCAAGGCTACCACCCCAGGAGTCTCAATTTCAGCAAACCTCATCGAGAGATACGTTACCGTCAGCCACACGAAATAGAGAATCTGACGCGAACCAGTCGCATGACACTTTTTATGCCTCCCCCGGGGGTGGTAATAGGTCTGCTACCCGTCGAAATGCCCTAACTAGTCAGACACATACTCACTCCGGGCGTCAAAGCTCCGAGTCGATTAGACCATCGTCAGCGAGAACCTATCCTGAAGCCCGTCAAGATTCACAGTCTTCTAGGCCATCTTCAATAAGAGTCCTTCCGAAGTCATCAGGAGTACAGATTATGCTGGTAGCAGCAGCGGTGGGTATTCTGAAGAGTCGTCGTCACAAAATCCACTAGCGCCGGTAGACCCTACCGATGCCAACAAAACTAGTGCTCTCTGACATCGTAGCTTAGGGCAATTTGACATCGAGCTGAGGACTCTAATCAAAAAAGCTGGGTGGCATCTCACCAAAGAGACACTATTCATAAACCTGATGCCCTCGGTATTGGAATTGCCGTCTATGGTCAGAAATTCATGGGATTTTGACAGGGCGGGAACTGACTTTCCAGCGGAGTTGTCGACCGTCGTTTCCTGGCAGGTAAGGTTTTATCATCAACGGACTCGTTCACACATGATGGAGAAGGCAAAGGCGGGAATCGCATTATATTATGGCCTAGCCGCCATGACCAGCGAGCAAGCAAAAGCCCGCGTCGATTATCTCCTGACAGATGACCAGTTTAATTGTGATCCCGATCATCATGATGTATATATACTGTTGATCCAGAAGGCGCGATTTAGTACTAACGTCTGTAGCCTGCACAATGGCACTTTGCCGCACCTCAAATACCGCATTTTATTTTCTACGCCTACTATAAGACCAATCGTGGGATTGCCGTGAACCATCCGGAATTTGAGAGTTGTATCAAGCCCTCTTTTATCTGCTTGGTTTCTACTGTACTTTACCATGCACTGAGAGTTCACATAATTGGAGGTGGCAACTGGAAGAATAGTGTCTTCAATAAAGACAATTGCGGTGGTGAACACCCCGTCTTTAATCTGGTCAGGTTATTGATGGGCGTCTTTATTGGCGGTGGTGCTAGTAATTTTCGAGAGGCACATGCGCACATGGAAGAGGTCCTTCCCCGACGATGAGACGTTAAATCTAGTGTTGAAGGGGATTCGAAACAAGATATTGAAACGGATTAAGAGGATAAACTGCTGCAGGATTACCGCTACGGAGAGCAGGGAGGCAATTATTGACCCTGGAGTAGGCAGCTTTTTGGAAGGTCTCCAACCCAAGCTCAGTACGGAGACTGACGACGATGATATGGGGTCCGACGAGGCAGGCGACCCGCCGTTTGACAATGACAATGGGGAGGAGAGCAATGTCACTCCACCTACAGTCGGGGACTACATAGTCGATGCAGAAAGACAAATAGATGGGACTATTGGAACAATAACCAGAAATAATATAAATATTGAAAACGATGTAGAGAGAGATCATGTCACTATTACCCAGGACGGAGAAGAGCGTTCAGGAGAAGTAGTCAGAAGATAAAGAGTGAGATCGCGCAAGAGCAAAGTACGAAAGGTCAGATAGCTCTCACCTAAATAGACGAACTAGCTAGAGCAAGGGGTGTCAAAAGACAATGGATCAATAGACAGTATCATCCAAAGTAAATTCAAACGTAGAATCAAGGGACGCAAAGACGAAGAGTTTAGACCAAAAGACGAGATATAGTTGTCGTAAGACGAGATATAGTTGTCGTAAGACGAGATGTGCGAACGAAAAGACGAAGAGTGTGAATCAAAAGACGGAATAGTTGTCGGAAGGCGCAGATTAGTGAAAAAAGACGATATGCAACTGTCAAAAGACAGAGAGTGCGAGCAGAAAGACGATATGTGATGGTCGAGGACATGAGTCAGCCAATATGACTTAGGTAATTTGACTAAAGGCGAGGTGACGAGGGTGTAGGATGAGTTTCATGTACCAAGATTCGAGTGTAATAGTAAAGGATCTACCTCCGATTTCCAGAAGACGAACTCGTCTTTAGACGTCAGGACGACGTCGTTGAGGATTGGGAGAAGGTTTTCGTCTTTAGCCTTCGCAATTTCGTCAGTTGACCAAGAGACACAGAGCTCTCGTCGCGGGGCACCCAGGTGTCGGTATGCCGGTAAGAAATCGCTTTGTATCATTTGGGGCATCTGGGGCGTCAGGGGCGCCCAGGCATCACAAGACGAGACTTCATTTTTAGCTGATGGAGTTTCACGGATCGGTTGGTGGAGTCGTTGGGTTACGCGGAGTTGGATTAGTCAGGAGAATTCTATCGTGTTCTTTGGGTTTCTGTTCGGTTGCGCGGCGTGAGTCATTGGGATTAGTCATCGCAGGATTTTCTTGGGTATAATAAGGGGGCTCTCCCTCGCTTCGTTCCTGTTTTCCTTTCTCTTCTTCTTTTCTTTACGCAACGTCTTCTGTACTCCTCGCAACACCAAAACTTTCGAACAACAACAACTTTTGGCCTGCCTTTCCGATAAAACTTTTACTCGAACACGATCCTGTATGTCAATAGACCGCGTAATCTATTGGTATCTCATCGAACATCTGTTCGTACGCGAAGTTATTCACGCTCTAGTTCCTGAGTTGTGATCTCCTCACCCCTCAACCCTCGCTTAAGCCTCGCGACGGTAGCAAAACTACAACCTGGCCTCACCAACCCCACCAAACCCACCAAACTTTGCGGGAAGAAAGAGAACTTTATCAGAAGTCTTCCCCAACCCAACCCGAACTGGAACGTCAGTGATGTCCCAACAAGCCTCCCTGAGCTCCTGGTTTGCAGGAGCCCCCCCCCCCCAGGAACCCCAGCCCCCCCACGCTTCCCCGACACCCAATCCACCCAACCCACCCAACAAACGCAATCTACCACAATCGAACAAACCCAACTCAGCGGCGAACCCTTCTCTATCTTCGCAGAATACACCCAATACAACGAACCATACGCACCAAAATATGACTACATCCACCCCAGCATCGTCCCCCAAGAAACCCACGCCAGAATGGACCTCAATTATATCTCATGGGTCATTAGAAATGCCCTCACCGTGGCGCTCGAACCCCTCAACCAAACAACTGAGCAGATCAACAAGGACCTAAAAGCCACCATTGAAGTCCTATCCACCCAAAACGAAACCCTCAAGCACACCGTCGATGTCCTGGCCAAACAAATGTTCGAAATGACAAAGAACCAAGACAAAACCTCCGAAAAGCTCCACCGGCTCCAACAACAGCTCTCCAACCTCTCCGTTAACAGATCTAGCAACCAAGCAGTCAACGAAGGAAAAGCTTCCGCAACCGCCGCCGTCGCCGCTGCCACCATCCCCGCCCCTCCCCCTGCACCCATCAACAAGGTGAACCATGCCCAACAACTAAAAGGAAAAGGAAAAGAAACACCAATCCCACCAGCACCAAAATCCTACGCATCTATCGCAGCAGGAAACAACAACCCCGAATATACCATGGTCACGAACAGGAGGAAACCCAAGCCCAAAGCGGATCCACTATTCAAACCAGAAATCACCAAAATCAACGGGGAAATAGTCATCGAAACAAACAAGGAATCACCAGTCACCCCCTCCGACATCAGAACAAGAATCAACACAAAAATCGAAAACCCAGACTGCCAGCTGATCGCCGCCAGGAAAACCTCGAAGAACAATATTGTGCTAGAGACCAAATTCGCTACCCCCGCCTCGAAAGTCTTCGAATACAAACAGGAAATAGAAACAGCCCTTAGAGAACTCAAGGTCCCCTTTGTGGACATCAGGGTCAACTCCAAATGGTCCAAATTCATCGTACATGGAATTCCAACAACAATCGGAGACGGCTATGAAGCAGGACAGGTCATGGCCTCAGAAATCAGAAGCAACTACGGAACCATATTCGAAATGGCACAGATCCCCAGATGGCTCAGCAAACCCGAAGCCAGAATAGGGAAGTCACACTCGTCAATAATCATCGCACTCCCAGGACAATACACAAAGGATAACCTCGGACTGAGATACCTCACCCTATTCGACCGGCAATGCAAAATCGACAACTACCTCCCAGCCAACCCAGAAACCCAATGCTCCAAATGCTTAGAATACGGTCACCGACATGAAAGATGCTCCCACCAAACCGGGAGATGCGGACACTGTGCAGAGGACCAACAAACAAGAGAACACCCATGCTCAGAATGCTCAGGAGGCACTAGATGTATCCACACACCCATCCGGTGCTATCACTGCAAGGCCCCCCACAAAGCAACAGACGCCAACTGCCCGGAACGTACCAAAGTCCGCATCACAAACAAACTTGGACCAGATACAAACCCAAGCCCACTACCAATACCCATTGTCATCCCGGCCCAGGACCCCCCCAAGAAGACGCAACCATGGATAACAACCAATGAGTCACACCAAAAGGACAACGGCTATCGCACAGCAACTGAACTGCGCGAAAAACGAGCTCACAACAAAGTCAGTAGTGGAGGAAGCAGAACAGGACCACAACATACTCTTTCTTTTGTTACAAGAACCATGGAACAATAAAGACGGCCACCCACCGGAATCCCCTCTCTTTTATCTATTCACAGCCAGCAATAAAGGCACTAAAGCTGCCACATACATCAGAAAACACGCCAACCTAAAACCAAAACACCACTACACCCATAACAACTTCATCGTCTCCGTCACGGTGGAAATCCAAAACCAAAAAACACAAATCCTCAACATATACTCACCAGGGCGGAGCGGACCCTTCGCGGAAATCTCCCGACAAATAACCACCATCCAAAATTGCCTCGTCATGGGAGACTTCAACAGCCACCACCAACTATGGTATGGACACAGATCCCATGACTACACCAACACAATTAGAGCAGACAAACCCGGATCCAAGAAACTAAAAAGATGGATTGATCGACAAAAGTTATCTCTACTCAACGAACCAGGCGAATTCACACACTTCCCCAGAAATAATAACAGACCAACCATCATCGATCTAACACTAGTCAAAGGACCAATCCTGGACCATGACGTCCGCTGGAACATCGACCGACATGGAGCAGGATCCGACCACGGGAAAACCATCTTACAACTACGAGTAGAGAAGCCACCTCACATCCCCAGGAGACTATGGCACCGAACGAATTGGGGAAAACTGGAAGAAAATATCTCAGGCCTCCACTTTCCCCCCGAAGCATGGGAAAGCCAGAACCACACAAAGCAATCGGTCGACTTCATACTCGAACATATAGACAACCTGATAGACCAAATAACCCCATGGAGCCAAGGACACCTTAAATCCAAGAAATGGTGGACCCCAGAGCTGAAGGAAATTAAATCAACACTCCACATACTAGAAAGGAAAGCCAGAAACACCCAAAAGGACGAGGACAGGGAATCTTTTAGGAAGACCAGCAGGAAATGGACGGCAGCAATCCGGAAAGCCAAGGCAGAACAAAGGGAAAAAGAACTCATGGAAGCCAAGGGGAGCGCCATTTGGAAACTAATCAACACGGGGAAAAGAAGGGACTCTACAATCCCAACTATACAAGGTGAAGAAACGTTTGCGGGGAAGTGCCAAGCTCTAAGAGCCCAACTCTTCCCCACAAATTGGACGTCCCCCAACAACCCCCACTCCAAATCAGACCCCCCTCCTTTGACCTTAGTGACGATTTTCAGGAAGTAACAACAGAAGAAATTACATCCGCAATCAGAACATGCCCAACACACTCGGCCACCGGACCAGATAGCATCCCATATCCATTCATACAGGCAACAATAAAGGCAAACACCCAACTCTTCCAAGACATGTTCTCGGCCATGCTCCGACATGGAGTCCAACCGGACCGATGGAAAGTGGCGAAATGCATACCAATCCCAAAACCAGGAAAATCCGACTATTCCTCGGCCAAAGCCTACCGACCCATCTCCCTGTTGCAATGCTTCAGCAAAGTACTGGAAAAGATAGTGGCAACAAGACTATGCACCGCCGGAACCATCCTGGAAACCCTTAGCAAAGACCAATTCGGAGGCAGACCAACAATCTCGGCAATCGATGTCTTACTCCGTACCCTCACGCCCATCCAACAAAACCTCCTGATCAAACGACCACAGGAACCGACACCCCAGACAGACCAGCGCTCCTTACAAACGATATACAAGGAGCTTTCAACTGTGTCGACCACCTCCTACTCGCCGAGATCATGACCCAACAAAGATTCCCGACCTACCTAACCAACTGGTGCAAGGAATTCAACACCAACCGAACACTCCAATTCCAATTCAACCACGAACTGGAACCACCACAACCATATGCCTCAGGACTACCCCAAGGCTCCCCCCTCTCCCCAGTATTATTTATGATATATGCCGGGGTGATAACAGACCCCACCAACTCCCCCAAAGAAACCAACACCACCTATATCGACGATGATGCACTCGTACAACTCGCAAAGTCCCCCCTCTACATCACCAAAAGACTCAACGAAAGAATGGCGAAAAGGGTCAAGAAAGCAG